CGCAAGGCAGGCGCGCGCACACCGGCGGTGCAGACAGGTGGGCGACTCCGCCCTGCACGCCCGAGCCGGCGGTGCTGGGTCCCAGACGCTGCCGCGCCCAGAGGAGCCGGTCCTCCTCCCGGTCCCCGCCTCCGTCGGAGGGCAGGTAACTTCTCAGCCAAGGTCATTCTCCAGGCCCGCCCACGCCCTCGGAGCGGCTGGCTCGGAGTGGGCTGGACGGCGACCTCGGGGCTGCCGGGGGACTCCTGGCAGCCCGGGGCGAGTGGATGGTTGAAGCGCCGGGGCGTCGCTGCCTGCACCTGCGAGGGTGAGTTTCCAAGGCGCGCAGCCTTGGGGTGGGGACCGCCCGGCTCTACCCAGCCGGCACCCGCAGGTGAACTGGACCGCCCTAGCCCTGCTGTCCCGGGCCGCGTGGTCGGCTGTCGCCATGGGAACGGTTGGTACCCAGATGCTTCTAGACTGGGAAGGGAGGTGAAGATACTCAGAGCCCCAGGAGTCAAGGAGCCCCCCCCGTTCAGGCCACGCGGAGCCGGGAAAACCTGATGGAAACAGGACCCCTCCCCCCTTTTCATTTTTTATTGCTCAGGCGTTGGCGTTAATCACAAGCGAGGATGTGTTTACAGGATGTGAGTTGAGTTGTTGCCACCTTTGCCTTCTGAGAGCTTCTGATGCCTCACGGTGACAGGTGCAAACACTAAAGGGCAATATGAAGCCAGTGAAAAAAAAGAAAACCGAAGAACCTGAGTTGGAGCCCCTGTGCTGCTGTGAGTATATAGATCGAAATGGGGAAAAGAACCACGTGGCTGCTTGTTTGTGTGACTGTCAAGACCTCGATGAAGGCTGTGACAGGTAAGCGTACAGTTTTCAGATGCTGACCCAACTGCTGCTGTTGAGACGTACCGTATATTCTTTCAGGTTTGCCCTCCAGAGTGCTAGAATTTGCTCTTGGTTCTATTCCAAAGGTTCTAAAATAGAGCATTGTTTTTGATGTCGTGTGAGGATTTTGTAAAAATGGGGTAGGTAGCAGTCCACGACTGTCCAGTTCAGTTCACAAGGACTTGAACAGTGTTCCTCTTTCAGGATGAGCATGGGGAGGACACGTAGAACAAGGGATAGTAGGCAAATTAAATGTGTTGAATAAAGAGCACAAACCAGCCCAAACTGCAAGTTTAAATGAACGATCCAGGAAGTTGTTACATTTCCAATGATCTTAGTGGAGCCCATGAAAGGCATCATCCTGCTAGGTCACATGGGTCTTGGAGGTTGAAAGATAGTTTTCTGCTCTTGGTTCACCCCTCGTTACCAGGGAGAAAGGTCATGTATGCCCCACAGAGAGGACTGTGTTATGTAAACAACAATACCATCTTGACTGTACTATTGTCTTACCTTTGGCCTTTACTTTCACCAGGATCTCAGCGATGGAACTTGCTATCTAGAGGGAGACTTTTTAGCATTAGTGAAAACCATTTTGTATCAAGCGACAATGAACTGGTTTTCACCATTTTTTTTAATCTATATTTTTAAACGTCTACTTATGGAAAGCATGATGTGAGAGGAAGAGGGGTGTTGGAGACAAGCTTTTCCCGGAAGCAGCCCCGTTTGGTTCCAGAGTCACTGCAGATTGTTAGTCTAGCCATGAAAACACTCTCCCTGGGGACCTGCATTCGCTGTCAAGCTTCACTCTGAAGCCCGTAACCTCTTTATAATTGTTCCTTGTCTTTCTCTATAGTCTTTTTAAACAGGTAGCCTTAAATATAGCTTCTGTAGACTTAGTCTGAAATCCATACTGAGAAAATAGAGCACTTTGCACTAATGACTGGAGAAACTGTGCTGTTTCCATAATGGCTGTCACTCAGGACTGCGGCTTCCCCATTAACTTTGCCGACTCTTGGTCTCTCCTGGCCCTCAAGGCCTGGAGACAGGCTTCCTGCTTCCCCCTGACCCTGCTGCTCTGTGACTCCAGATCATCGTCTCCCACTCATTTTACGGTTTAGACCTGCTCAACAAAATTGTCTAAAGTTATTTTTGCATAACCTACCTTAACGTTCTTGCCTGTCTTAGTCCACTTAGGCTGCTGCGACCAAACCCAATCCTCCAGAGGGGGTACAGAGTGGTAGAAGTGGAAGCCTACAGTTCTGGAGGTGGAGAAATCCAAAGTCAAAGGTGCTGGCAGATTTAGTATCTGGTGTGAACCCTCCTCCTCATAGATGGCATCATCTTGCTACATCCGCACATGGCAAAAGGGATGAATGACCCACTTGCCTTGATCTTCTTTTGTGGGGATGTTAATCTCATTCATGCTCCACCTTGTTGACTTCATCACTTCCTAAAACCCTACCTCTTAATAAGATCATATAATAAGACGTGGATTAGCTTTGAACTAAATGGACTTTGGTGGGCCACAAATATTCAAATCTTAGCAGTCTACCTCTGCTTCTACCTATCTTCACAATCAAAATACGTTCCTTACATCCCAACAACCTCAAATATTTAATTGTGCAAGTGTCAGCATAGACCTGTTAAGTCTGGACAGTGGTCTGAGTGGCACTGTAGTGCCCTTCAGCTGCAGGCCTGTGGATAACAGGCTGTGGGCAGAAGGGAGGCAAAGAGCACTTCTGCTGCTGCAAAGGACCAAGGTTCAATTCCCACGATCCACATGACAGCTTACAGCTGCCTGTAATTCCAGTCCCAAGGGATCCGACAATCCCCCCCCACCTCAGTAGTCACGAGGCACACACAATACACATATATACATGCAAGCAAAATACACGTACACATAGAAAATGAAGAAAAAACAGTTGTGTACTTTCAAAACACAATAGTGAGACATTCATTGAAAAGACATTCCCATGACAAAAAAAAAAAATGAGAAATGGGAAAGGAAAAGGGGAGGACAGGTCCCATTCCCACAGGGCAAACGACATGTTTACAGTTCAAGTCTTTTCCTTTTTTTCTTTTTTGAGACAGGGTTTTTCTGTGTTAACAACGCAAGTCTTAACTATATAGCCTACCTTCCAGACATACTGAGCTGAAAGTTGGGCTCCTGAGGGTGCAGCTCACAGCACAGTTCTCATGGGTCAGAGTCTCGTTCCTACACAGAGGTGGTATGCTGCTAGGTCCACCATTCTGGGGTCTTGGTCAGTTATTACCCTGCAGCTTTACCAGGCATTGCCTAGTGGTCTGTGCAGTGGTCCCATCCCCACGAGTACACAAGACAGCATCCTAGTGAGGACTCTGTGGGGTGACTCAACTCTATGGCACTTCTTAGCCTTGACCTTGATACTCTCTGGAACATTCTTTGACATTTACATGCATATAACCATGCCCCCACAACTCTTGTGTTCTGTGGGGCTGTAGAATTGGGAACATAAAATGCCACCCAAGTTTACTATTGATGTCCTTGAGAGTCGTGGCCCCTGCAATCTCCATTGCACCTGGCTTTTCAGGAACCACATCTGAGGTTTCTGTAAGACACTACATCAGACTGTAGGAAGCAGAGACTTGATGTGACTAGCAGTGAGCCCTGAGATTTCAGGGGTGTTCTGAGCCACTTTCTCTCAAACCATGGTGTCATCAAGGCCCAAGCATTCTAAGCTTATGATAGGAATGCAACCGCAGTCTCAGAACTGCTTTAAGGGTCATCTTCCCATTGTCTTGATTCATAGCACAGGGCTGAGCCATTGTGATCTGATGATGGACTCTTTCACACAGGCTTCACAGTTGTTATTGTGAACTGCCATGTGGGTGCTGGTAATTAAACCAGGGTCCTCTAGAAGAACAGTCAGTGCTCCTAACCACTGAGCAATCTTTCCAGTCCCCACAGTTGTTATTGTATAAACAAGCTAAGAAGGCCGAGAACTTTCCAGATCTTGAGGTGCTGTTTCCCCTTTGGTTTTACATTATATCTTTTGCTTTGGTTTTGTCTGTCTGTTGGTTTTCCGAGACATTTCTAAGACAGTGTTTCTCTCTGTAGCCTTGGCTGTCCTGGAACTAGCTCTGTACACCAGACTGGCCTTGAACTCACAGAGATTGTCCTGCTTCTGCATGTGCCACCATTGCCTGGTTGTAAACATGTCTTTAAGGTCAGTGTATGTGTGTCATATGTGTTGTATGTGTATGTACACATGTGGGCTCCTTGTGGACAGTGGTTGGTGTTAGGTGTCTTTCTGAGTTGTTTTTTCTGCTGTATTTTTTCAGACAGTGCCTCTCACTGAACCCAGGCCTCTTCAGTTGGCCAGACTAGCTGACCAGCAGTCTCCAGGAATCTCCTGTCTGCGGCTGCCTGCCCTGCAGCACTAGGAATATAAGCTCACACCACCATGCCTCTCTGTTTTTATAATGTATGTGCCTGTATATCCATGTATGTCCCATGGTTTTTATGCATAGGTCAGAGGACAACCTGCCAGAGTTGGTTCTCTCCTTCTACCCTGTGGACCCTTGTAGTATGGAGGTCGCTAGTGTTTTTCCCGGCTGCCCAGCCTCCCAAAATAACCCCATAGAAACTGTATTAATTAAATCACTATTTGGCCTATTAGATCTAATTTCTTATTGGCTAGCTTTTACATCTTAATTTAACCCATTTCCATTATTTTATATTTTACCACGAGGATCGTGGCATACTGGCAAGGTTCCAGCTTGTGTCTCTGGCAGCGGCTCGGTGGCTTCTCTCAACTCCGCCTTCCTTCTCCCAGCATTCAGTTTAGTTTTCCCTGCCTAGCTCTGCTCTATCCTATCACAGGCCCAAACCAATGGTATTCACAGCATAGAGAGGGGGATCCCACATCAGACCCTGAAAGTGAACTCAAATCATCTGCCATGGTGGCAAGCATGACCCTTATCCCCTGGGTCATCTTGCTAGCCCCTTGTCCATACTTTTACATGGGTACTGGGGATCCAACTCAGCCCTCTTGCTGTCATACAAATACTTTGTCAACTGCCTCATCATCCTAGTCCCTAAAGTCACCATTATTAATTATTGTTTGTATATGTTTTTATGTGTAGGTGAAAGGTGTGTCATGTCTTATGCAATAGATCCACCACCCTAAGTTTTGAAACAAGTTCTCTTCACTGAATCTGGAGCTCACTGACTGGGTAGACTGTCTAGCCAGTAAGCTCTGGAGGTCCACTTCCTTAGTGCTGGGGTTACAAACACATACCATCACACCTGCCTTTTTACACGGATACCGGGAATCTAAACTCCTGTTCTCATGTTTGTACGGCAAACGCTTTGCCTGCTGAGCCACCTCCCAGCCTCTTGTGTGAACATAAGCATCCAAGAGAAACTGCAGAAACCCGGGACACTTTGATTAGAGGCTTCTATCAATATTCAGTCCCATAACCCTTCCACAAAACACTAGGACATGAAGTCATCTGCTTCATACATGGTGTGTTCGTGCCACGCCTTCATGCGGTGAAATTAATAGGCTCCTTTGGCCTCTTTTATAAAGGGTCTAATCCCATTCATGAGGACTCCTGTCATGACCAAATCACCTCTTAACGAGACCACCCCCTGAAGGTCTCATTATATTGTTGACTCTGACCTTAAGTTTCTGGGATCAGTAATCCTCCTGCCTCAGGCCTTCATGCACCTGTAAATGAAGGTGTGTGCCACCATGCCCACCAGCCTCATCACCTCATGCTCAAGTGTTGAGGATTAGGTTTTAAAATTGGAGCTTTTAAACAGCAGCCTGCCTAGCTGAGCAGAGTCAGCAGACACTCTTCTCTTTAGTTCCTGCCTATGTGGACGCCTGTCTGTCACAGCCTGGCTCACTCCGGGGTGCAGGGCAGGCTTTGAGCTGCACCCGTTTCTCTTGGCTGCAACACTGCCTTCCTTCTTTACCAGCTGACCATCCAGGCTAAGTCCAGACCACACTGTTCCACTAAGCCCCGTTGGTGTCCATCCCCTGGGCTTTTCTGAGTTCATTGGAAGAACACTCCCACTTACATAATACTTTTTGAATATTCACTGCCAACTTTTACAAAAAGATTCATTTGAGTGTCCATCCACCCAGTCGGGTCAAGACATTTGTGTGGAATATGTGCATATACCTGTGTATTTAAGGAAGAATGCTGGCTGTTACAGTTATAAACATTATCTCCCTATTCTAAAAAAATGATACTTTAATCTGAAAAGCTTGGCTTAGCAGTGAGGGAATGAAATGTTGGCTTTTGGTGTCCTATCATTTATACTGCTGTTTGACATCTGGGACCCTGTAGTTTTTAATTCACCAAATCCCTGTGAAGCACATTGTTCTGCTCTCTCTGAATAGATGGCTTACCTGTAAATCAATGCGGCCAGAGACTTGCGAAAGAATCACAGATACGATTTCTGATCGCCTCCGAATTCCTTGGCTTAGAGGAGCCAGAAAAGTTAATATTAGCATCGTCCCTCCACTCGTGCTTTTGCCAGTTTTCCTTCACGTGGCTTCCTGGCATTTCCTGCTGGGGGTGGTGGTTCTGACCTCCCTTCCCGTGCTGGCGCTCTGGTACTACTACCTCACTCACCGAAGGAAAGAGCAGACACTGTTTTTCCTCAGCCTTGGACTGTTCTCACTGGGTTATATGTACTATGTGTTCCTGCGGGAAGTGGTCCCCAGAGGGCAGGTAGGGCCCACCCAGCTGGCTCTCCTTACCTTCGGGTTATTCCTGATACTCTTAGCCTTGTACCGAGCCAAGAAGGATCCAGGCTACCTCAGCAATCCAGCTTGCAGTGACAAATGCCCCAGCAACAGCCAAATCGAATGCCCGATCAAAAAAGGGCAAGAGAAGACCAAAGGGTTCCCTGGAACGGATCCCTCAGGGAGCCTCAACAACCGCACACTGAAGGACGATATTAAGGGCTCCTCCAGGGTGGCACTTGACAGCCCTGCCAAGATGAAGGAGGACTGGTGTGCCAAGTGCCAGCTAGTACGGCCCGCCCGGGCATGGCATTGCCGGATATGTGGCATCTGTGTAAGGAGAATGGATCATCATTGTGTCTGGTATGTTGGAAAAATGTGGACGCCCAGAAACTAAATCTATAGGCTCCCCATATTTGCTCTTCCTCTGTGCTGTCCTGAAATGTCTCTTTCCCCAGTTTTACACCTTGCAGATATTTGTAGGCTGTGAGGATGTTCCCGCTTAGTCACCAGGTTCCTGAGTTTCACAGATTTAGTGCCTTCAATTTCCTGAAGGGGATGAGCAGAAAAACTTTGGGAGTGGCTCCCCGCCCCCCCTTTTCCTTCCAGTTTTTCTTTGGTAGTTTGAGAAAAGAATCATTTATCAGGGGCTGTGGAGATGGCTAAGTTGGTAAAATCCTTGCTATGCAAGCATTAGGACCTGGGGTCCCTCCTCAGCATCCGTGGACAATGGCCATGTGCATTTGATCCCAGCTCTGGGAAGGCAGAGGCAGGAAGATCACTGGGCTTGCCGGCCATCCCATCTAGCTGGATTAGCAAGGTGCTGGTTCTGTGAGAGATCCTGACTCAAAAAATATGGTGGAGAATGATTGAGGAAGACACCAACATCAACCTCTGTGTCCACATGCAAGTGTACACACGTGCGTGCTCACCTACGAGCACACGTGGTTCTTGTTTCCAGGTGACTCTGCTGGTTTTTGGCTGTACATTCTTAATCATTTTATGCAAATAGGGATTTCCACACACCATTGTAGCTGAGGTCTTATCAGATATTCCTTAATTGGTTTTCTGCCCGGAGATAGACTTTGTTTTGTACCTTCAAGCTGGCTGGCGGCAACAGGCCCTTAACATCTAAGTGTGGCACCTAAAATTCTGCTGGGTGATGCTGAGCTGAAGGGAGCGGGCGTTAGGACTCAGCTCTGAATGCTGTCAGCAGCAGGTGTGTGCACCTGTGCTGCTCTCAGGGGCTCTGTCTAAGGAACTGCACCTTAGGTCTGCAGAGAACAGGAGAGAGTGAGTGCAGGAAATGCATGGGGGGCGGGTACTGACATGGCCAAGTGCATGGCCCTAGGACAGGGACACCTCATTTCTGGGACTTGTCTTTAGGTGTGAAGGGCTGTTTTTAGTTTAACACATGCACTTGTCATTTATCCCCAATGGGTGCTTGTGCATGCAAGTGTGTTGGCCCATTTCTAAATGCTCATTTGTGGAATCTGACAGTTTGTCCTATAGGAAACCTCTGGCCACTGAGCATCCTGGGATGCTTGGGCAGAAGAGAGGTGACCCGTGTACCCTGCCTTCAGAGAGGCCATGACATAGGGCCATTTTTTTTTAACCTGGCCTGCTTCCTAATGTCTTGTTCTCTGTGCTGCACTACAGCTTTAACTGTATTGAGTCCTTTTGTTGCTCTCATGCACACTGAACATATTTTCCAATTTGTGCAGTATTTCTGACTGTACTTTTCATACTGCTTAATCTCAACTTTCCTCATAGCTGGATAATTGACCTCACTAATTAATATTTAGGATCAGGGCTTAGGGGTATAGCCCAATGGTAGAGTGTTTGCCTAACATGCACAGTGAGCCAGGTTCAACCCTCATATGTGCCTATGTATGTTTATGTATGTATAAGCTCTATATTTAGATGGGTAGATTTGTTAGCTGGGTTCTGCTTTTTTGATTAGTCATGGCTTCAAACTAAGGGATAATGGTTCTACTTTTCCATAGAGAATATAAGACTTTGTCACACAGCAGACAGGGTTTTGTTTCCCTAAAACTGAAACCTAAGATGACTTAGGGTTTCATAACTGAACGTCCTACTGTCTCTATTTTAAAGGCTTTCTTGTATATCGTGTGGGTTATATGAGACATTTTCAAATGTGTTTTCCCCCTCTGCTGTTTTGAGGATAAACAGCTGCGTTGGAGAATCAAATCATCAAGCATTTATACTTGCCCTTTTGATCTTCTTGCTCACTTCGGTGTACGGGATATCGCTGACCTTGAACACCATTTGTAGGGACAGAAGCCTCTTCACAGCCCTCTTCTACTGTCCTGGAGTTTACGCAAATTACAGGTAAGTTGTGGAACCCTCTGTTAAGAGGACCAGTGAGGAAGAAATAATCATTGCCAGAAACAGACCGTTATTTGCTCTTAAGTTACCTGTTTTCAGCCAAGCATCAGGCAGGCTTTGGAGATGCTGGGCATCCCTAAAATTGTCAACAAAGCAGTGCAGTGGTGATGGGTGTGTTCTAGGGCAATACCAACAAAGCAGTGCAGTGGTGATGGGTGTGTTCTAGGGCGATACCAACAAAGCTGTG